CAGTGGGGCTGATATGGACTGCTACACCCCTTACTGGCGTGGGTTCGAATCTCACTGAGCACGCAAAGTTTTTTTTACGACCGGGTCAAAATAATTACTCAAATCCGTCAAAGTCGCCCCTACAAAGTAATGATTATAATTAAAAAATAACAGTAATTCTGTTGTGGAACTACAGACCGTTTTAACCTGTAGCAACGCTTTCAATAGCAGTTAGCACAATAGTGGCCCGTGCATTGCAATTAATAGTGTTAATTCGATTTCCAACCCCCCTCCCTGTTTTTATTATGCAGAATTGAAGCCAGTTTCCTCAGGCGTGCGTTTCAGCCCCAGCGAGCAGCGAGTAAGGCCTGGGCAGACAGTGCGTTTGGAATGCAGTGCTCTGAAGCCAGACCCAAGCGTCCGACCCATCGTTGAGTTTGAAGACGGCACTCCTGTTGAAGTCGACACCCAGTTCCGCGTTGAGTACGAACAGCCAGGCCGAGTGGTGATTACTCTCTCCCAGGGCACTATGGTCCCCTGGCGCCGCAAGGGCTTCCGGTGAGTGGCTTGGCTGACCATCCAGGGATGGTACTTTCATCCAAATAGTACGAAGCCTTACAAGCGTCGCACAACGTCTTTTATAGCTTCCCCTTCTTTCATTATAATTTCGCTAATACTACTATTACTAGCACTATTACCACTACTGCTACTGCTACTAATACTACTTTTACAATTGGCACCACCCTCACCACTTATTCTGTTTCTTATTCTTCCTTAAAATTAATCCATTCCTCTGCCAGGAACCAGTTAGTATGATAGAAAACATGTGTAAAGCTCGCATCAGTATGCATGCGCTCTCAAGGCAATAACGAGCAGACTACGTTTTTACATCTTCCACTGATACAGTGACCAGTAGGCATATCGAGGTAGTGCTAAAGCTAATAAGGTTAACTCTAAAAGATGCAATCTTCCAGGCCCTGTTCCTTAGGAGATTAGAGAAGTTATGGGAAGGCCAGATTGGTAGGAACAGTATATTCTGCACGGAGGGGTTGAAGAATAAGTAGTAGGAGATTCGACTCGGATTGCCAGGCGTCCGACCGTGAGATTGTGGGGTGGTCAACGGCGCCGACAACGCTGTCTGCGGCGCTCCCTGGCGGGACGGATTCCGGAGTG